CACACACACACACACACACGAACAGAGAGACACACACGGGCGGTAGTGCAGAGTGTTTTAATCACCACCTCGCTCCTGCCACCGCTGCACAATCCGCTCCGCCTCGTCAGCGTCAATTGTGGCGCCGCCCATCGCGTCAAACACAAATCCACCCTCGTCGAGCGGAGGCACCTCGCAGTGTGTGATGTTCATGCGGTTCACAAGCACACGCGCCTGATCCATACCAGTACTGGTGCTGGTGGTGCTGTTGGCTCTCTCGCGCAGAGCCATCTGCAACGCCTCCTGCACAAGACGGCCGAGCGCCACGACGTCGTCCAACGCGATCTCCTCTGGGAGGAAGACGTCCATCAGCGTCCGCGCGGCGATGGGCTTGCGGCCGTANGTGCGTGTTGCTGCTGCGATCGTCCCCGAGCCGCGGGCTGAGCGGTGTGCCAGGCTTGTAGAGCATCATCGCCGTCGTCTGCCGCAGCGGGCCGAGGACGACGCTGCCCGCCTGCAGCTGCATCAGCGCGCAGAGCAGCAGCTGGATGTCCCGCTTCACGCCCACAACCTCCCGCGCAGGCCGCAGCGTGCCGAGCGTGCAGCACGGCACCCGCGCGCCGAAGAGAGGGCTCAGGGCGTACTCCTGCAGCACCCGCCGCCGCACACTCGGCGATGCGCTCGACTGAAAGCCACTCGTCGCCGCCCCCTTCGGTACAAAGTCTTCGTTGTACGGCCAGAAGTAGCCGCGTGTCGGCGTCGACAGCGCACCGCAGCAGCAGAAGCAGCGGCGCGTGCAAATGCGCTTCGCCCTCCGGATTAGTGTGGCCGAGGGCGACGGCAACGACCGAGTAGCAACCGCGCCACACAATCCCAATTGCCGCATTCCGTCGCTGCTGTAGATATACCAGCGTCACCGCGCGGGCCCTTTCCAGCTGCGCCAACAAACAAACGAAAAATAAAAAAAGCAAAGGAGAGAACCTTGCACACAGCAACAGCAGCGATACAGCTTGTGTGAAAAGGGAGAGGCAAATGATAGGAAATAGAGAGAAGGTTGGACCGCCAACGATTGCGAGCGGTCTTCAACAAAAAAAAAAAACGAAAAGTCTGTGTGCTTTTGTGTCTGTCGTTCATCTCGGGCTCCTCTGATATTCATCAGAATGATGGATTGCCCTTTTCCCTCCGAAAAAAGAAAATTTCAAAAACATTTTTTCTTCGTGTGTTTCCCCGCTGCTCATCCATTAGCGCACCCTCAGAGAATACGCGCTGCTATTGTCTTTCTTACCCCCCTCACACCTCTTTTGCTGGCTCCTGCGTCCAGATTAAAATCATTCCCCCTCCCCCCTCACCCTTCACACCAACTGTGTAGGATATATATATATATATATTTCTTTTCATTTGCATTTCTCCCTGATGCACTTCTTTGCAGTGGTGCTCATTCCAGAAGGCGATGCTTGCCTCTCAATCACACCAGCCACATGTTTCATTACCTTTCCTCTTGCCTCATTGTTTTTCCTCTCATTTCACGCTCGCGCCGAGAGACCCCGAAACAGCTCCACCGGTCTTACTTGGTGGCCTCGATGATATCCACGAACTCCGGCTTGAGCGATGCGCCGCCAACGAGGAAGCCGTTGATGTCAGCCATCTCGTACAGCGTGCGTGCGTTCTTGCCGTTGACGCTGCCGCCGTAGAGGATGCGGAGCTGCGCGGCGATCTCGGCGCCCAGCTTGCTCTGCACCCAGCGGCGAAGCAGCGCGTGCACCTCCTGCGCCTGCTGCGGCGTCGCCACCTTGCCGGTGCCGATGGCCCACACCGGCTCGTATGCAATGACGATGCGCTGCCAGGCCTCCTTGCTAAGGCGCTGCGCGATGGCGGCGAGCTGCGCCAATACGACGGTCGCTGTACGGCCCGCGTCGCGCTCCTCGAGCGTCTCACCAACACACGCGATGACGTAGAAGCCAGCGGCATTCGCCTCCGCGACCTTTGTCGCGACGACCTCGTTCGTCTCGCCGTAGTACGCGCGGCGCTCGGAGTGGCCGAGCACGAGCCAGCGGAGGCCGAAGTCCTTGAGGATCTGCAGCGACACCTCGCCGGTGAAGGCACCGCTCTTCACGATGGCGTTCTGCGCGGCGAGCTCGAACTTCGGGTGCGTGAGCCGCGACTTCGTCATGGGGATGTGCAGGAACGTTGGCGCCACGACGCACTGCACGTCGTGGTCGATCTTAGCGGCGTTGAAGGTGTCAATCAGCGTCGCGAGGGACTCCTGCGTGCCGTTGCACTTCCAGTTGGCGGCAGCGATGGGCTGGGGCTTGGTTGCCATAATTGACCTTGTTTGTTTGTTTGTTGTTGTTAGATGATTGCTGATCTTCGTCAAGTATCCACACGCGGTGCAGCGCAGCAGTGCACAGAGAGAGCGGCACCAAAGACAAGACGAAACAACACCGGACAAAAACACAGCCAGAAAGAAAAAAAAAAAATAACATACAGCGCTACTACACCCAGATGCACGCAGGAGTAGATGCGCAACAGGAAAGAAGCCCCCACAAGAACACACACGCACAAAAGGAAATACAAAGAGGAATACACAGGTAAGTGACAACTCTTTGTTTGTATTTCGCTGGGCTGCCGCTTGCCCGAAGCGACGGTCTGACATTTTCCTGTGTGTCGTTGTTGTGGCTGTTATGTACATTTGTACCCAACGCAGTAGTGCGCCCACCTCTGCGTACGTGTGGGTGTGTGTGCGTGGGCGCGGCTGCGTGCACGTGACGAGAGAGCCGCACCATTTCCTGTGTGCGCACTCCACCCCGCGCCGCTGCAGCAGCGAGACACAACCAACACACACACACACAGACAAAGAGAGAGAGAGAGACACGTACTATTTTCCCCATCCCACATCTTCAGGGTCATATCTATGTCTTTGCGGGGTTGCACACAGTCTGGAGGTTAGCCGTGAGTGTTTGATACGTGCGGCGGAAGAATGCTACCTCATCGTTGTGCTTCTTCTCCTCCTCCAGACGCCGCTCCTCCTCCTGCTCTTGAATGGCCTCGCAGCGGGCCTCGAGCTCCTCCACCTGCTGCTTCAACTCCTCCCTCTCGCGCTCCATGGCACGGATCCTCGCCTCCATCTCAATCTTACTCTGCTCAGCCTGCAGGGCCTTGCGCATGCCGAACGCCGCACTGCTTTCATAGAGCGAGCGGTAGGCGTCAAGCGTCATGCGTAGCTCATCCCGCACCCGTAGCAACAACAAGCCACGCTCCGCGCAGTTGACTGTCACCTGACGAATGAGCTCCTCGAAGACCTGGCGGTAGAGCTCCTCCCGCACGGGGCAGATACCCGTCTCGCGCGCCTGCCGCTCCTTCAGGAGGGCATCGAGGTGCTCCTGCAGATTAATGACATCGAGCCGCGTTGCCGGGGTGCTGGAGACGAACTGGACCCACTTCTGTGCATCTTCTTCATACTCACGTGGGGGAATGATGCTGTACAAGACGTCCTCCGGTTGTGGGGCAAGTTGCGGGCCCAGCTGACCCTTCTTCTTGGCGTCCTTGAGCGCCTTTTTGCGCTTCACCTCGGAGAGCAGCACTGGCGTCTCATACTTCACTAGCGTTGGCCGCGAAGTTGCTGACATGACTCACACACAACGCGTTCCCCTCCTGGTGAAGAACTACAACAGCAGCAATAATATTACCCCTCTAGTCTTCGCTCTAGTGCGACACCTATGTACGCAATAAATAAATAAAAAAGGCAAAACAACGAGGGAAAAAACGAGAGAGAAATGTGTTTTCGCATCCTCCATCGGGGATTCATTTCATTGCCACGCCATCGCAAAAGAAAACAACAACAACAACAAAGTGATGTATGCAACTACCACACACACACACATACACATCCAAAAAAAAAAAAAANAAAAAAAAAAAAAACAGACGCCCCTATGTCTTGTATGTGCTCGCTTCAGGCACTCTCTCTTTTTAAAAGAAATACCCTTCCTTTCGTTATTCTCCCACTCCATCTCCATCTCCATCTCTCTCTCTCTCTCCGAGTGTCTGTGAATGTATAGTTTTCTTTGGCGCATTCGTTGTTCTTGTTGTTGTTGCTTCTGCTGTGGCGGGTAGCAGTAGTGGGAGTGATGCTTGTAGAGCAAGATGCATATTTCCCTAGTACGGCCCGCTCACCTTGTACTTCCCCTGCTTCTCCACGTCGTGGAAGTCCCACCGCGTCGGCTTGCGGAAGTTGTGCCGCGTCGGGAATATCTCTGGCATGGGTCCCGCGTACACCATGTCGTACGACGGGTGCTGCCCGCGCGCGTACTGCTTGTACTTGCGTTCCCACGGCACGGGGAACTCCGGCGGCCGCATCGGGTTCTTAAGATCGCGCCACTCGGCGGTGTAGCCGCGGCTGTGCTCGCCTTCGAGTGGCGGCGCGTAGTAGCCGGGGCCGCGCACCGGCGA